CTAGGTCCAAAAATGCAGTGAAGGTCTAGGCATGGGTCAAAGATATTGGCCAGAATGCTAGTATTACCACTCAATGTTGGAAATTGTAACAAAAGAAAAACTACAAGAGGCTGTGAAATACACAAAGACTGAAATGCAAGTAAAACATTCTGTATGCACCAGTAGCCATATTTAAAAATGCATTTATTATTGTTATAACCTGTGCAATTGATTCCAATTTTGTAACTCCATATGCTTCCACTGTAACTTTATTAACTGTTATAACCTGACCAAAGTGTCACCATCTTGTTCTGTATGCGCCAATCTAAATGCTGTAACTTTCCACTGTGCCCTTTCTCTACTTGAGAACCTGCAATTGGGCCTTTCTCACGCTGTCCTTTGTGCACACCTGAATCTAGTTCCGGCCCAATGCCCTGATCTCGCCCTCGTTCCCAGCTACAAACTGTACCCACCACTGCACTTGTTATTGTTCATTAGAAACAGGTAATTTTTCAACTGTAGCCCCAAGATAAACCCTTGATGTCAGCTTTTGTGGTTTATTGGCTTAAATACCCACTCCATTTTGTAACCAGAATGGGCATTGTATTATACACTTCTGTACATTTCCACTGTAACTTTATTAATGAGGATTGTTTGGTATAAGCTGACAATTTAAACTCCATCTTGGTGGCTCAAGCTATCCAGCGGACCTCTGAACACATTTTGTTAATGTTCAAACTATTCCTTTGTTCTAAACCACAGTGTGTTAAAGGTTAAGATCTGAACTATTTCTTACCCCAGAGCTCTCCACACAATATGTCCCCTGATCAACATTGAACCATAAATTGTAATTATTTGTTCCTGAAAATTGTAACCGCATGTTAAAAATGTAATCTGTTTTCCCAAAAGTGGACGCTGACCCCTGTGCCCATGCGCTCAAGTCGTAAGACCTCCCCTTTGCGGTTTTCAGCCTTAAAAACCCTTGTCTCTCTCCTCCTGGGGGCACACCTCAGCATCTTGCGGGGGTGTCTGCCGCTGGGTACCAGCTAAAATAAAGTGCTTCTTTAACTTTTGGACTTGCCTCGTTATCATCTGATTTTTGAGTTACAACAATTATGACACCTCACTAACTTAATGGAAAGGATTTATTGGTCTGCTGTACTTATCTCAGATTTCTCATGGTGATTGCAGGGATGTAAAAGACTTAGTGAAAAGCGATGGGTCTAAATATGGCATAAAAATTTAAGTCCGTGTAGATCTGAAGACTTGTAATGCTTTTTTTTTTT